TACAGTGATAAACTGGTCCCAAGATATCGGCAGAGAAATTGACATAGAAAGTTGGGAATATGCCAGGAAAAAGACACAAACATTTACCAGATGCCAAGATCTAAAAGAAAATTACTTTAAAATGGCTCAGAGATGGTACCTGACCCTAGTAAAATTGGCAAAGATATACAAATCAAATGGAAAAGACTGCTGGAAATGTGAACAAAGTTCTGGAGACAGGTTTCATATGTGGTGGACTTTGTCCTGAAATGAAAATCTTTGGGATTCAAATTCATTCAATCATCAGTGAAATATTAGAAATAAACTTTGAATGCCTTCCTGAAATATATTTGTTAAATATGACTAACAAGATTAACATTCCAGTAAGGAAGACAGGGAAAATGAAGGAGAGAGCTGCCGCAAGAATAGTAGTAGTGAAAGAATGGAAAAAGAAAGACATACCCCAAATAGATGATTGAATGTGGAAGGTATTAGATATGAAGAGCTTAGATATGCTAACAGAAAGACTGAGGAAAAAATAAATTAATGGAGGTTGAAACGGCAAGGAAGCCAATTTTGAAGTATTGTGAAAAGAAATGGCTTAAGTAATAATGTGACAATTAATATGCTTTGATAAGATAACAAAGTGATTGATACATGTACAATTAGAGAAACGAAATGTTTTGATAACATTGTCAAATGCTAGATAAATATATGGGGTAATCCTTCAAAGTATCTAAACCGCAGAAAAGAGTGGACGACAGTTAACAAGAAAGAAGTATCTGCATAAAGGGATTTAACAAGGGAAGTCAACAAATTAAGTTATCTGTAAAATTACTACCTATGATAAGAACTGTTTTTCTTCTGTTTGTTTGTCTTGTTTGTTATTTATATGTGGAATAAATAAATAAAAAGCTGAAAAAATGGGATGACACTGTTCTTGCCAAACTGGGGCAGTTGGAGGGTATGACATAGTTATGACAATTAAAGAGGAATCTAAGGTCTTGTTCCCACTCTGATTTAAAGCGATTTGCTGATCGGATTATATGTGCCTCGTTTGCACTTGAAATGGTTTCTGAACCGACTGCACTTGGTTTGAATCACAGTAAAGCGAGGCAAATGCAAAAGAATTGCTTTTTCCAAAGATGGATCTTTTGGCAGTTCTTTTTGAAAAGAATCGATCCTGAAGCGTGTTCAACAAGTGTGAACGATGGATCTGATTCTCATTGCACTGGAGTAGGGGGGAGTAAAGACAGAAGGCTGGGGCTGAGAGAGTGAGTGACTCGAACCCTGCGGACAAATCTTGCCAAACAAACCCTGCCTGAAGGTATACAACAATGTTCACCTGAAGGTATACAACCACAACACATTTTGATGAGAACTTTCCAAAATTGATTTTTTTTTTTCATAACAAGAGCAAATTTGGGAGGAAAAGCAAAACTGGGAGATTTGCCCCATCCGAAGTACAAAGGCACTAGTGGGAATGACATGTAATGAGGACATAATTTGCTTCCATAGTGGGAACTATGCATCGGCCTGAAGCGAATCCGAGACACAGTCTCAATGCAAATCGCAAACTGGGTTAAATGCAAGTGGGAATGAGCCCATAGTGTTAGAAGTGTGAAAGGACCACAGATGAAGCTTTTATTAGAATAGGAAGTGAACTGAGTTCTGTTTCAATCTCTGTTCGTTCTCTTTCTTGCAACGGCATGTGTTTCAATCTCAAAAGCTTAAGAGCAGACTGTTGTTGGGAGGGGAAAGCACTAAGATGTAAACATTCATGTTCCTCATTGCCACAAGCAAGAACAAATAATTTTTCCAGTGTTCTCCTTGCTTGACAAGAACACAGAGGTTTCTTTGCAGTTTCTGATTTCTATTCACACTTCAGAATGCATACTTTGCAGAGATACATGTCATTTTTTTTCTATTTGAAAAGCACACTGTCTGCATAGAAAACACCCTTTCTGCATATAAATTCACTTTTTTTTTTTAGAAACACGCCTGATTTTGGGGGCAGCAAACATCTTATCTGCACAGTAATACATGTATTTTATATGTGTACAAAGGCTGAAAAAAAGGGTATTTCTGCATAAATGACATGCCAAGGATCTTTTTTAGCAGCCTTGCAGAATTCTTCTCTCTCTTCCTGGCAATGAAGGGATTTGTTTTTGTTTGTGTTTTTGTTAACTGCCTTTGCA